AACCGTGCTCTGAGCTCTCCCTCTGGTGTTTGTGTTTGCTCATGGTTTCTTCTTAGGGACACTGGGTGTGTTGAATTTGAAGAAGATAATGTCGCCGTCCTCCACCGTGTAGGTCCTGCCCAGTTGCCGGTATTTTCCAGCAGACTGTGAAAGAGAGGATACATTTGAATTATAGTCAAGGATGTTTCCTCGGAGAGTCAATGCTGATATTGGCAGAACTCCAACAGTGTGTGAGTTCAGGCACATCTTTTTGAAAACACACACACCTTAGCTGCAACTTCACTGCCTTCCTCTTTGAAGTCAATATACTTCATCACCTCCGCCATGATGAAGCCTTTCTCAAAGTCAGTGTGGATCTTTCCGGCAGCTTGAGGAGCCTTGGTCCCTTTCTGTTGGAGCAAAACACAAAAGAACATTTTAAAAACATAACAGAAAATATAACAAGATGCTTCTACCTCGAAGAACTTATCAAACATTGGAGACAAATATGTCCATATACATGATATGAAGGCGACAAAAGAGAAAATATCACTGGAGCCTTTGAAGGTGGCCACTAAAGACCAAAATATATACAAGAGTGATTTTTTTTGGACAAAATCCAGAATATTTATTCTGCTTAAAAGAAATCAAATGTAAATAAATGACCCTTTCAACCAACACTAAAGGGGACTTCGGAATAAACATTTCATTTGGAGGTCACGTTAAAATGACAAACTTTAAAGACACATTCTTTTATATGGCAGCACGTACCCTGATGGTCCACGCTCGCACCTCATCTGGTCCCCCTGTGAAGAAGTACTCCAGCTGCAGCGCTGCGTAGCCCGCCTTGATTATTTTAGTCATGACACTAGAGGCACAGAGGAGCAATGATGAAGCATTTACCTTTTGCTAAATAGTCATATTGACGCTTTAAACATAAGGACAAAAAGGTGTGAGACTTTTCTATTGCAGATACATTATTTAGTGACATTTAGAATACATTGGTGGATTTTTTTTACCATTCTGACATTTTATAAAATAACAGATTAATAATGATAGTAATTTATATTGATGACCACACATTAGTGGCAGTTAAACCATTTTTAAAAAAAAAAACTATATTTATGATATTGTTGCTACACTGAGTTCCTGTCTCACCTCTGCGTCTTCATTTCCTCGCAGTACTTGTTCCTCTCCTCGTCAGACTCCATATCCTGCAGTTTACACTCCAGAGCTCCACTCACAGGGATGACCAATGCGCCGGGGTCATGAGCGTCTACCCACTCCTTGATTTTCACCAGCCTGAGAAACACAGACGGCAGGGTGAGGTTTTATTCTGAATGTTCAACAATAGCTGAAACAGTGTATGGGATAATCACACTGGGTAAGTGAAAGCAAACCTACCACTTGTTCTTCTTTCTGATGTAATCCTTCTCTGAGAGGTTAACCAGGTAGATCATGGGCTTGGATGTCAGGAACAGATATTTGTTCAACACATCAATCTGTGGAGAGAAATAAAAAGGGCACATGAAAAAGTTTGGTTCTCAAAAAACGTAGTTTACCTATTTTCTCAGGTGAGACTTAGGAGAGATAACGGTTTTGTCTGCAGTGAAAATGTAGTTGTTATAAGGCTAAATGTTGACAAAAATGGATGAACCGAAATGCTGTTGATATTGGAAAATATGAATGTATTTTTTTTTAATGAATTTTAACCACTACTGGGATCTAATTCTAAAAAATAACATAATACCAAGAATATTAGTGTAGCATGCTCTTGATCTGCAAATGTGCAGAAATATCGAGTTAGAAGAACGAATAGCGACGCAACAAAAAAAGAGAACAAATAAACTGTTAAGGAATACTACGAACACACAGATCCTTACCTCCTTCTCGTTCCACTCGGGGTAAAACCTGATGTGGTTCTTTTCCTCCTCTACCCAGTTCTTCACCTTCAACATGATATCCTGAAGCGAGAAGCAGAAGATTATATTATCTGCTATATCCCCCAGGGATGCATAGTGACACAAATCCAGACAGGACAACAGAAGAATAGCACTAACACTACTTACATATTCAGGTTTGAGTTTTTTGTCATTTCCTCTGACAGCAGTTTTCTCCAGCTTGTCGAGAACCGGAGCGATCATTTCCACGTCCTTTAGTCGCAGCTCCTCGTGGATGATCTCGATGTCCCTCACTGGGTCAACGTTACCTTCCACGTGGATAATATCCTCATCATCAAACGCGCCTGAAAGAGGAAGTCAGAATTTGACACATTTTCACAACTTTGTCACACCATGTAATACCTTAGTCAAGCCATATCAGACCATTGATAAATAACATATTCTAAAACAGGGATACACAATGTTTTGTTTTTTCTAATCAGCAATGCATTGACAAGTTTCACACGAAACAGGGATTTTTAGAGTTAGTTATTTATATCTTAAATATGTCTTTTAACTCCAGCTCAATGAAGAAAAATTTTTTGGGATCATTTATTTTAATTTCTTTATATAAGAATCAATAGTTTGATACCCATTGATAACATTAGATACCCTGTTATAGAACAGAATATATATTCAGGTACTGTCTATATACTTTTGTCTTGACCAAAAACATAACATTAGTGCATTTCTAAAATGAGTCTTGTTGCCCTTTAAGAGGAGTAGCAGTAGATCTTAACTTGTCCTCTGAACACCTGTCCCCTCTACTCAGTTGAAACTACACAGCAGCTGCAGGTAGTCATATTCCACTGATACTGATACTGTACCTCTGCGGTTGCGAGGGAATGATGATAGATCATCTAAACTAACTAATAACTAATAACGACATATCATAATTAAATCACAAGTTAATTACAAATATATTTTTTTTTTTGAGTCTGCTGTAACAAGTGTGTTGCAAATGAGAAACATAACAAGTAGCTGCATAAAAGTAGTAAAACAAGTGAGCTCAGTGATAACCGTTAGCTAAAAGAATTGAGTGAACAGTTAAAAAATCAAATTTCTGAAACTGTGAGGAGTACTACAAATGCACATTAGACTGATGTAAACATTGTCAGTTCATTTTCACGAATAATGTTATGGCAGTATCAACTTTGATATAGTTAAAAGATGAAATAACATCAGGTTTAGTTCATCTGACAGGGCTATCAGCGAAGAAGGGTGGAAACCTGGATTGAAAACTCACGAGTCATGTGGAAGATGCCATCACAGGCACTGATGTGGGAGAGGAAGGCGTTTCCAAGTCCCTGTCCTTCGTGAGCTCCCTTCACCAGACCAGCAATGTCCGTGACGTTGAGAAAAGCTGGAACCTTGCTAAAAAAAGACAAAACAGCGAGACAAGGAGGGATCATCAGACAGAAATCCATGGATGCTTGACACAATTCAACCAGCTGTCAGGACAGAACACACACCTAAGTGGTTTGTGGTACTGGCAGAGGAAGTCATAGCGCTCATCGGGAACAGGCACCCTGCTCTCATTTGGGTCGATTGTGCAGAAAGGGAAGTTCTCTGCAGCAGCCAGGCTTTTGGTCAGCACGTTGAAAAAGGTGGACTTCCTGAGGATGACAGGCAGGAGAGTGTCAAAAGCAGAGCAACCTTTGTTCATTCAGTCTCACAACACACACACGCGCTTAGCTAACATCCACATTGATTATAATAACATGTTAGTACATACCCAACATTGGGTAATCCCACAATTCCAATTTTCAGAGAGGTTCCGAACCGTCCGATAATTGGAGGCTGTTTGGGTGCTTCTGGCTTTTTGGGGGGCATCTGCAAAAGTTACAACAAGTTACATGATGATCTCATGTCAACATATTCAAAAAAAAGCCACGATTGTTTTGTAATAACACCCCAGTCTTATTTAAAGTCAGCTCTGGGCACTTGGCAGCTCCATCCTGTAGAACTAGCTCCAATGAAAACGTGTTAAGGCAGCTCATTCAAACACAGCATGCTAACGTTAGCTAGCTGTTAAACGCTCCTAGCTACCTGTTAGCCAAAATATGTGACTGAACACACACTAATGTCTGCCTTTGACAGTCTTCACAAGTAGTCTGGAAGCTAATTAGGTATACAATGTTATTTTAGTACCGTTATGTATTTTTTAGCCTATTTTATACGTGGTGTTCGCTCCTCTGGTATCTGCTCACACCAGCCGCTCCGGTGGAAAGGCAAGTCGGAGGGCAAACCGGAAGTGTTTTGACGGGAGGGCCCTATGATTGGTCGGGTCGCTTAACTAAATAAAGAAACTTTTTTATATTATTTGATATTCGATTTGTATTTATTTTGTAATTAATATATCTGTGTTGTCTCAATTATACTGTTCTAGGATATTAAGAGAAGTTAAACGGAAATGTATTTCGTTGCAGTTTACTTTACGGCCCTCCTTTCCATGGTGAACTGTAGCTAGGGTTACAGTTGTACAGCATGCGTTCAAGAAGATGCACACAACCCAGAGCCCTGACACAACCCAGAGCCCTGACACAACCCTATAAATAGGCCTATAGCAGTCTGTACTGTGAATGGATGGAAGCCCACCAAAGCCAAAAAAATAGAAAAAAGTATACAGATTGAAAATGTAGCCTTATGATACAAGGGTAATGGCATCCTTTCTGGAAACAATGACATCATATATTAAAAATAATTACTGAAAACAACGAATTTCAAATAATGACTTCGTATCTCAAAATAATGTCTTACCCGACTCAAAGCAAGAAGTTACTTTTCAAAGAGTAGATATGAGATTATTATTTTGACACTCATTATCTATCTGGTATAATTCAGATTAGAATATCCTAAACAACAGCAAATGTAAGGTCAAGGTCTGAGCCACAAATGCAAGTTCAATGTACACTTGTGTTTTCTACTTGAAGACAAGTGCAGGTCCATCACAGCAATAGTTGTGAGGTTAAATGTAGTTTCAGTGACATTCAACAAACCAGAGAAAAGCTTTATGCCAAACAACCGAGCCTCCCCTACATAAGGATTTTAGCAAGATTTTTAAAAAAAAAAGACACGCAATTCTGTAAAACACTTTATTTAGCCAAAAACTTCAACTGTGACAACAGGGCTTCAATATGGATGTTCACTCATATCAAATGAGGGTGCATGCGTACAGTTCAAGCAAGTAATCATTTTATTTCTGTCAAGAAATAAAACACGCCAAATAATTAAAATGTTTGATGGGTGGCCATTACAGTATACTGCACACTGTTACTAAACAACAGAGGAAATCACCCAAACAATGATTTACTGTTAATGTAAAAACACCCAAATAAAGTAAATCTCACAACAACAAAAAAAGACAAAACTAAAAAAGGTAACATGGTAAGATGTTAATTAAGTGAAAACTGGGATCTTGTAATACAAACAAAACAGCATAACGAGAAAATGTATTAAAACTGCACATTTTCAATTCCTGTTAGCTGTTACGAGGATAACCCACAAACAAAACTTCACAGATTTCCTCAAAGCAAGGAGAGAGCTGGGCCTCGAGCCACTGATCATGTGAAAAACATTTTGTTGCAGATCCAAAGCATTGCTCATTTCCACCTCATTCCTGTTTTCTGGCATTTCACTTTTTTTTTTTCTTCATTATTCTGCCTACAAATGAGGTGTCCATAAACTCACCACTTACATTGCGGACTCGGACAGAGTGCATCTTTCGGACCATTTTTTAAACTTTCAATATACATTGACAAATAAAGAATACATTTCACATATATAATCTGGTCCAAAAAACCATACAAAAACAAGCATCTGATCAATAACACTGAAAACGGTGACTCTTCTTCACTGCTCAGTAGTGACCTGTGGGAAAGGACATGCAAGAATGTATTTATATTGAAAACAATTCAAGCATATTTTATACTTTAATGTGTGTTAACAGTTTTGTTTTTTTGGAGTATTTAACACTTTACTAATTAGGTGTCACTTTACCGTATTCAAGTTTTAATACATAAACATTATTTGTATTTTTATGATTCTTATTTTGGAACATTGAGTAATATGTGATTGTACAATATGTAAATTATTGGAATAAACTGTCCATTCGTCAATATTATAACATTTGGACTAATGATAGAAAAATGGTTTGTCCTCACGTGGCGAGTAGGACCGGGATCGGGATCGTGAGCGATACCCTCTGCTGTAGTAAGGAGATGGAGATCTGCGTCTGTCGGGAGAAAACAAAACCAAAGCACTTCATTTGAGGCCTTTACATTTGACCAATGGTTAGGATCACTTGATGAACATGATCAACTTGAGTCCTCAAATCCTAAAAGCTTCATCTAGTCCATAATATGTCTTCAAAATAACAATCAATAGACGAATGCGCCAAACAGGCTCCTGGTAAATCAACTTACTTGTATGATCTGTACTCTCTGTCGTCATAGCGTTCATAATCACGATCATAACTTCTGTCATAGCCCCTGACGGAGCCCCTGTCGCAGTCCCTTGAGTTACGCTGCGATGATGACCCACCACCACCACCACTGCTACTACTGCTGCCCCCACCACCTCCTCCGCTACCGCCACTGCCACCGCCACTGTAAAAAAACACAGAAGAAATACATAGTCAGAAGTTGGAAGATGTTGCACATAGCAGCTTTAAGGAAACGCTCTTACGGAATAAAGCTGCCTGGTAGAGGAACACTCACTATGTTGGTCGTCCCATGTATATCCCAGGTGTGGGTGTATGGGCTCTTTTCGTGATGGAGAAATCTACTCTGATCCTGCGCCCATCAAGCTCCATCCCGTTGGCACGCTCCTTGGCCTGAAACAACAACTAAAGGTAATCCTTTTGTATTAATAAAATAATGAGTCTTCAGGGGAAAAGTTAAATATGGAGGAACTCTAGACCAATGCTGCTAACGTTATGGCCAAAACTTTTCAAATATTTGTAATAAAATTAAAATGTGTATTTGCCTGTTTTATCCAACATACCTCCTTAGAGTCCTCACGGGTTTCAAAGTAGACGAAGGCAAAGCCCCTAGAGCGACGTGACTGCTGGTCGTACACAATGTTAACGGCACTCAAAGGGCCGTACTTTGAGAAAACCTCCCTCAGATCCCTCTCAGTGGTGTACAGACTCAGCCCAAACACACCCAGACAGTTGTTAGGGTCTGGGTTGGCCTGTAAGAGCACATAGAGCAGTGTATAAATATTGTGAGCAACTGAGCTCCCAAGCTGGTAGAAATCTAGCTTTTCTAAGCAATTCAGAACCTGGGTATCTGAATTTATTTGGTAAGAGAGGTGACATTCCTCAGGATTTACACAACAAAGGTTTTTATTTTTATTTTAAGAAATAATTTAAAGTGACAAAAGATAGTTCAATCTACACACAGAAAACACTAAAGAGTCAATTAGATGTATTTAGGGGTATTTCTTAGTATTTAAAAAGTAAAAGACTCCATGGAAACCCCAAAATCAAGCATGTAGAGGTCATTTTTACCCTGTTGCCAATGTGTCTGCGACGATTTGACATGGGTGAACGGCTGTGGCTCCTGTGCCGGCGGTACTCCCAGCTACGAGATCGGCTCCTGGAACGGCGTCGGTGAGAACGGGAACGAGAGCGGGAGTGATGTCTACGTGAGCTTCTATGGGACCGGGACCTACTAGAGATAAACATTAACTTATCTATCTGAGCAAGTCATTTATTGTTGAGTCAGATGAACAGGTAGTTCAGTAATCTATTTCAAGAGTCAAAATGTCAAAAATAACTTAAAAAAAACATAATTTTCATAAGCACATGAAAATAAACCATATCTTACCTGGATTTGGATCGAGATCGGGATCTGGACCTGGAGCGGCGGGAGCCATCTTTTGAGCGTACCGGTGAGCGGCTGGAGGATTTAGCAGAGCCCTGAGGGGACGCACTCCTCGAGCCAGGCTGTGAGTCCTGGACAGAGGACCAGACACGGAGATAAGAAACACAATAAGGCCCATTGTGTGCCAAATAGAGAGCCAGGAAGTGACAGCGTTGCCCTCAACATGCCCCCTTCAGAAAGAGTTTATCATATTTTGCCATCTAACAGGTTTGACACAACATATTTAGGAATGTGATTATAAGAGGTCATACATTGTAACACATAGTTAAATTAGATATGTTGTAATTTAGCTGAAAGACATATAGCACAGAAAATAAGATAAAATGTGTGCAGGGATTGACCAAAGATGTTTCTGATAGTGGAAAAAAATGTGCATGCTTAAGAGAAAGAAACAGGATGAAATACAGAAGCATAGCAGACCGTTAGGAAATTACTCATACCCTTGTAAACTTCTGATCTTAACTTCATAACTTCTTTAACTTCATTACAACCCTCCATTTTCTTCTTTCTTCAGTTTGACATTATGACTTCTTTTTCCTCCTCTTCCCCCATTTATCATCTGCCATTACAACACTAGAAGTGGGGCCAGATCTTGATCGCTTCTTTTTCAGCATGGAATACATTAGCATGCATCAACACCATCAGCGCCAAACAATAACAACTTCACATCTGACACGTCTTCCGCCTTTTTCTTTCTTCATTACTCAACCTTAATAAAGAACAAACAAGGGTGATAAGGCATGTTGGTTTCCATAGGAACCAAAAAAGTTGAAAACAAAAAGCAGCAAAACCAGAAAAAAACAACAGTTATTAGCTGAATACACGTTTGTATGTTAGCATGACATGGTCTTGATTGGTCATACATTACTATGGACATAATCATTTACTATTGAATTGTATTATTATTTTGTTATTACTGGTTGTCAATATTCCATTTGTTTGATTTAAGTAACACATTAGCAATAAAGCTAGGTAGCAAATATCATGTCAAGTGGACAACCACATTACTCGACTGTAGGCCATATGCTTTAACATATCGGATTTTTAAACATTTGAGACACACTCAGTAATTAAATGTCACGGTACTCACATGAAAGCTATATATCGCATCTATTTAACAATACAGAACAGATGTTACTCAGTTTTGAAGCCAGGTGTCAGAATGTTTTGTTATTTACGTTACCAGCGATCGAAGCTATCATTTAAGCTAGCTAGATGTTCCAACTGTCATTACGTTATATAAATATCCCAACTCACCTGCTCCCTAAATTCTTTCTCGTTGTCGCTCATGTTACTATAATTAATGTAACACAGCAAATGCACGTGATAAACGAACTGTCACAACTGATTCAAATCCTCAGCCAAATTTACGGAATAGCAAACTGGTTTGAGCTGAACCAGCTAGCGTTAGCTTAGCTAATGTAAGAAATAATCTTTTCCGGTTCCGGTTGGTTAGCCAAATACATCTTGCATTTTACACTTATATAATAAAATCCCTGTATATTGAATTCAAAGGCTGCTTCCGTTTCATATTAATATTTTCATAAAAACCAAGACAGTATACTTTCATAATAAATGTTACAATAAGGTGAGTCATTTAATAAATCAAAGTCCAGTTTAAAAAATGAAATACTTTATTACAGGGAGAAAGAGAATCACACTTTTAAGCATGAACTCAAACATGCGTGTGTGTACAGTAGTTTGCTATGCAGTATACTATACTGCAAGTTTAATTTAATGTTATAGCCCTAAGTAGCCTCTTGCAATACCCTCATGGAAAAGATTGCTAAATCAAACAGCGCCTTGTGTTACATAATGATGGTAAACATCGATAAATGCTCCACTCATGGAGTAAAACAAACTATACACACTCTCCAGAAACACTTTCTCATCCAGTCAAGTCATAAATAATAGCAAAACAAACATACTTCAAGCGGTCAACCATGCATCTCTTTTAAAAAAGGGACTGGAAAGGAGGTATCGATTGATTCTCATTGTCTACATTTCCCACAGCGATTGCATTCATGACATTAGCATTGCAGTAGTCACTGTTGACAATACAATCCCACAGTTTGGAATTTACACCGAAATATCACTGATCTTCAACAATCAAATTAAATACATTTTGAGTCAGACTTTTGATTTGTATGTGACCAAGTCCATCCATCCATCTTCTCCCGCTTATCCGTGGTCGGGTCGCGGGGTAGCAGTCCCAAGCACGTAACCAAGTAATTTCCCAAAATAAACAAAAGCATGCTCTCTAATTGGAGCTCAGTGTCAGAGGGCTGAAGGCACTTCCGGCAACACTTCAAACAGTAAAACCAACTATTAAGTCAATACAAAAAGCCATTCAGTCAGTAGTGCCAAAACTTGTGTAAAACATACACTTCTTCCATCCTGATAATGTCTCCAATTATAACTCAGAGAATTCAAAATGTTAATACAGGAAAGGGGATACAACCATCTTTTAAGACTTTGTTTTAATTTCCTCAGACCAGAACAGCTACACTGGGTTAATTTTTGTCCACGTCTTTGGCCCATTCCTTTTTGTCTTCAGCATGTAGTTAATCTACACAGATGTTGCTCCCATTCAGAGGGTCACTTTTGTTAGGCGGTAATTGGAAATTGTTGCGATCCTTTAAAGCAGCTTCTGATTGAGGATTTCCCAAATCATTATTTTCCTGAAGATCGGCATGTGGCACTGTAGAGAAAAAGGAAAATGTTTCTCAAGCTTTCATATGAAACAGAGTTTTTACAGCTTTTTATGAGTAATTCATTCAAGCTCTTTCAAGGTACCTAAAGCAAATCGTTACAGACTCCTGTTGTTACTAATTCATTGATTAAACAAGTAACTAGGTCAGGTATGCACTGGGTCTGATGTGAGACGCCAGGAGACAACAAACAGCTGCTAATGGGATTGTTTAATTTCAAATATGCAAATTCCTAACCCTGAAATCATAACAGCTGGAATATAGCATTTTTAAAACTTTAAAAACATTTGAGGAATTATATTAAATAATGTTGTAGAACACAACTAGATGCAGAAAAACCAAAACTATATTAGGTGAAAATAACATGTATACCTGTTTAAAGGTTAGAGGACTTCCTTTTGCGATATAGTCAGCGTATTTACATGCAAAAACCCCACAGTCGCTGCCATTCTTTTGCTGGGGAATCTCCTAGAGAGGCAAGAACAGTGTACAAAACATTCATCTCACAGTAAATAGGAAAATATTAATTATAGTGATAAGTAATTTATCTCAGTCTGACTTACAGTGGCCCGCAAGCTCCCAACAGACCATTTAGTGCCTTCGAGCTCTCTGCCTTTCTTTACTTTGTGCTCCTCTTTCAGGTAATGTCTGGAAGAAAGCATATTGATGTCATGTCAATTGATGTAAACATTGAAATGCACAGATAACCAAAGCAGAAGAACACAATGAGGACTCACAGTAAAAGACCGCAGATGTCATCGTGCCTGTGTCCCATCGAGTCATATGACTTAACTGTCTTTGACTTCAAATCAATCACCTTCAATCAGAGAGGGAAGTATAAGGTCAAATATATACAGTAGAGTTGCCCCGCTTACATTTTTACTTGAACACTTAACCACAAAGCAGATGCAATAAGGATTGTTTACACTGATGAACAAAAAGGACATACTTTAACATTAACGTTACAAAATAATGAATGGATAATTTAAGTACCAGTTAACCCCCCTGCTGGCAAAAACTGCTGAAGTACATCAGGAGCTGGCAGGCAGGAATCACCAACTAAAAAGGCGGAATATGACCTGGGAAGAAACCCTTCAAAGTCTTAGTTGTTGGGACTCACAGCCATCGCCCAGTGGACGCCCAGGTGCAGAGGGACCAGGAGGAGGTCGTAGAGGAAGAGGTCGACAGCCTTGGTCCAGCGCCTCACTGCCATGTGTCCGCCCGCCTGCCCGCCTCCGCCCCCCCGCAGCTTCGGGAAGAAGAAGGTGCTGAACGAGTAGATTTTCAAGCCTGCTGCTTCACCAGAGCACCGCTCCATGACAAGAGACAGGTAGAAGTTCATCACCTTGGTAGAGGAAACAGGGGAGGCACAATATAACACATGTTTATCTTATTGCATCGATTCAGTTGTCTTATCTGTCAGAGAGAAACCATTATTGATTTTATTTTTATTATCATACATTTGACCTCATTGTGTCTCGTAACCTGATAACATGTTATATTTCGCTGCATGTACCTGTAAAGTTCTTAACTTAATAATCTGAGGGGAATTTCTTGTCATTTTGTAAAGCACTTTGAACTGCATGTGTTGTATGAAAAGTGCTGAATAAAGCTTTATTATTATTATTAAAAGTCCTAAATGTATCTCTACAGTCATTTGACATAAAGAATATTATGTTCTTTGAAATGATAAAAAGAGGCTTTTACTTTCACGGCATAATACAATGACACGTACAGTAGGTGAATGCTCACACGGCAAAGATAGTAACAGCTGTATTCAATTCCAATGCCATATTTAGAAAACAGCTCGTGCAACAGGCTTTGTTTCCATGGTGACGGTGTTCCAGTTGCTGCTACTACCACCAAACCGAACATGTCTGGTTCGTCAAACACTGACTTCACTTCGTACACAAAAAACTCAACTAAAACACTGGTAATGAAGACGTAGGTAGCATTTACTTTTTCTATTACAAGTTCTTATTGCAAGAAGTGTTCAACATTCGACAGGGTTATGTGTCATTGCTGTTCATACAGTGTAGATATAAATAATATGGATGAAAATATATACAATCGCAGTTGTTATAAACAGTGTTTGGTATATCCTTTGAACACACCCCTTTGTTGAACACAATTGGTTACAAGTATCCAAAGTTGTTTGTATTAAATGAAACTAATGAGAAAAATTAAATGAAAATCTAAATTGACATCCACAATAATATCAGCTTGCTAGAAACTGTCTTCACGCTTTAAAGGTCCCCTTTTACACTGTTTTGCATCAATATATACAAAAGATGTTTCTGAAGTGTTTGGCTCCAAACACCAAACAGATCATTGCAGCATTACCCATAATCCCCTCTGTTTCAGGCCTGTTTCAAAAGTGCTGATTCTCTGTCTGTTACTTTAGATGAAAATAAGGAGCCCCTCCCCACGCCCCTCTGAGAGATATTTGGTTAAAAAGAACACAATGGTGCTCTAGGAGGAGATTCAGGTGAAACTTTCAGAATCTCTTTACACAGAGGTGACACATGTTTATGTATAAAAGACATGAACAAGTGGATTTTGCACAATAGGTGACCTTTAAGCACCAACCTCGTCGTTGAGCCAGCCTCCTTCCTGCAGCGTGGCCAGGTCTCTCTGTGTGATGTGCAGTTTGAACGCCGCGCTGAGAACCAGGTTGGGATCACTCTGAGCCAGAGCACAACTCACCTCGGCTGACATCTCCTACACACAAAGACAAATACATTCATGAAATATTGTTTCCATGCTTTCTTCATCACAGTGACTACACCTCATTTTTAAGAATCTCACCTTGGTCAGCCTGGGTATGTCTTCATCGCTGTGCCTTGTATGTGCTGTGTGTGCAGGATGGGAGTCAGGGAGGCTGACAGCAGGAGTCTCTCTGTCCACTAGGTTGAGGCGAGTAGCTACTTCTGTAGAAAGATCCAAATCGGCCACCTGTTTCTGCTGCAACACAGGCTGACATAACAGACAGATATAATACATCCGCTTTCCGCCCCTAAATATAACTTAATGGATGCTTTGACATGAGAGAGCGAGAGAAATGACTACCTTTGCACATCTCACAGGCTGCGTGTCCTCAAAGGCTCCACTGAATGTTTTACTAAAAGTCAGGCTACCCCATCTGAAGATGAATCATTTGGATGTTAGTAGAATGAACAGAATGAATCAGTATACATACAATTGAGACGATGTATAAATAAGCGCACTACACTAACCTCTCCTTGGTTGCAGATGCATTTCTCCATGTAAACATACTAGGAGCAGCTGTGCAAAAAAAGATGTATTTTAACTTAAGAATGGACATTTTTCAACCTAGTTTATGTGAAATGACTCTTTTTATTCAAGGAATTGTTTAAATATATTTACAACAAATATTATAGCTTAACAGGACTCTGAATAAAAACAACACTTACAACTATCTATCACAAACAAATACGTTTACAGATCACTTTATGTTTATAGGTATCCTACCTGTGTATCCCATTTTCCTGGGCACTGGTTCAAAGGCTTTTCCGGAGGCAGCAGTTCTGTGATCGCCCTGTGACAGCGACTCACTGGGAGCAAAAGAAAAAGAAGATATAACAGAAGTTCATGTCCTAAGGTAAAGTTGTTATATGGAACTTGGACAGATGTTCAATTACTCCACATGAATAATGGGTAAACTTACTCTTTTGGTTTGGTTTGGTTGAAAGGTAGTGGTTGGCTTTTGCTGTGTTGCTCCGTCACCCTCTCCAGCAAGCGCCTGTAGTGTTCCTTGTTGTACTGCTTTATGTCCTGAAGCGAGAACCCAAGTGATGCAGAGTGTTAAAGCATGATTAGTGACGATCCTCTTGGCAAATACAACTGAAATCTACATTGGGTGCTCTGAAAGCAGAAACTGGTTGAAAATAGTCCAATCCAATTAAGCCAAGAAATGTACTTTATTACCTCTTCTACTGTAAGAATGGGCTTGTAGCAGCGAGTGTGTCCAAAGCTATTGCAGGTTGGATCGGGGTTAGTGGTTCCTACTCTCTGAGCAGGTCTGGAGGGCAGCAGCTGGAGGGAGGCTCTCCTCTCCCGATCCTTCCCCCTGTCCGAGAGCACCGCGGACAGATTTGCCCCGCTGCATTCAAAAAGGGATAGTTGCATTAGCAGGGAAGCATTTAAAAAAAGGTGATACAGCAGAATATGCAGCCCTGTATATAGAAAAAGGGAACTGGGTCTGGACTTGCCTGTATTTCCTCATTAAAGGAGGCGAGGAGCTCTGAAACGGATTCTTCCCACTCCTATCATTCACTCCACCTATTGGTTTAACTGTGAAGAAACATCAAAGTCAACCAAATGAAAGTGGGAAAAGGGATTGGAGGAACACTCAGTAAAGAGTGCCGATAAAAACCCCTGCTATAAATACAGTCAACGTATAATTCTTCTCCAGCAGTACCAGCAGCCCTCACTTACTCATTCTCCACTCGGTCCTGTTCAGCCACGAGGTTTGGAGCTCATCTATCCCTATCAGAGTGACAGGCTGGATCAAAACAGGAAATGCAAGGTCATTGAAGATGGAGAATACATATATTTAATGCCAGAGCACATTTTATATTACGGTTAGGAATCTGGACACAGAAGAAAATGACTTCTAATAACCATTTTATGTGTTGCCCAAGAAAAGCCTTCAAAACCCTGCCTTGGTTGTCTTTTGTAGAATATTTAATTGTATCTACATGTGGTTTTGTAGGTTTATTTCAGTATATGCAAACTACAAAGGGTAACGCTACAATGCATAAACAATACAGTAACATGCCAAATGTGCCTTTAGCTCATTTTGGATTCAACACACTTCTATTTAGAACTGTTAACGGCTAACCCAGGGTGCATGTGCCACTCCTCTGCAGATGATGAATTTAATGAGACAAGGCGTCTAGTCAATAGCTTTGCATCTGCATTAATCTGACTAATGTATCTGTTTTGAACTTCAGATGCCCGTATGATGAATGTAGTTGGAGCACAAACCTGCATGTCTTCATAAAGTTCGGGCTTCACACTAGTCTTCCGCGGGTTGCGCAGCCTGAGCAGACCTGCTACACCGGCCACAGTCTTCTTCACAAAGCTAATGACTACATCTGAAAAACAGGACACCACAATTAACAACTTGCATCTTCATTTGTGGGAGACAATATGGAATCATTATTAATTATTGTACAAACCTCGCCTATTTCTTTTCACCTCTACCTGGTCACTCTGGCAAACATTGTCTGCAACATAAACACTGAAACAAGAAAATAACATTTTGAGATGGGTGATACTAATAATATAAAATATAACAATATTCCCAACTCAGTGACATTATATCAACAATTTGAGGACATATTTGGGTTCGATTCAGGTAAACATGTCTAAATGTGTCAGTCTAATACAAAAGAGAAGGAGGTTTCTACTATTAAGTGTAGGGTTAGGGGTAGTATGATATAAAAAGTTGTAGACCAAATTGTAGGGCTGAAACCAATTATGTTAATTATAAAGGAAAAATATGCTGCAAAATTAGTCCTTTTATTGGAAAATATGATGGTGACCAAGATGTTTATTTCTACTAAAATATGTTTTGTAAACCCAAAAGTCCAAAACCCAAAAATATTACATTTCAGTCGTATAGAAAAGAGCACAAAACAAAAACGGATAATTCATTCATAGTTTATTGCAAGACCATGATATTAGAATGCGTGAATAAAGTGTATGATTGTACATGATAACATAGAAGGTAACTGTAATGTTATTTGGGGTTAGCCCAAACATTACACATGGCTGATTTAGTTTTGTTTTAAATGGACGTTTCATGTTATGCTCAGGACAACTCATGAATTAACTTAACTGCAGCATGAAAGACACACTTGAACTGTTAGGCTAGCAGTGTGCAAATCTACTATTACTTAACAATACGAGACGATATTTTGGTGACGTAAATTGTTCACTCGGATCATTTAACATGATTAGCATGAATTAGTGTTAGCTGGTTAACGTTAACTGCATAATGTTCGATGACGTTACAGCAGCCAACGTTCCTATGTTATGATTTTAGATGTTATGACTTTATATAACGTGAATCAAACCTTTAGATAACAAAGAGGATATAATAGCGCACCATCAACTCAACTATTGATAGTGAACCCCTACATAGGACTACAATAACAGCCTTTAGATGATCCACCGACCTCTGGTAGTTCCGTTTGGCCGGTCTGATGAGGCTCTCGTGCCGCTCCTCTTCTACGCCAGGTCGCGTGGGTATGTCCTGGCTAACGTTACCTTTCCCGGGCCACTCGTTGTGGTTCTGCCCAGTAACGGGCTCAAACAGCGATGAGATTCCGTCAACTATCCATCCATACATCCCAGACACATACGAGAGAATTGTAACGGGGTCTTCTACGCGGTCCAGGACTAATCTCACCACAGATAAGATGTCAAACAAACGGTCTACGACACACCGCCTGCCGTTGGGGTTAGCTCAGTTAGCAGCACTGCGAGGACCTGCGTCATTCAGTGTTGATGTTTTACGTGGTGCGAATGTTCTACTCACCAACGTGAAACGGGTGGGCGGAGTTCTAATGGGAACTTTGTGTGGAAAGATGAAATGGAGGAACCACCACACGCGGCTTCTACGAGCCTTATAAACAAGCGAACCCCCTGACAGTGACAGAGAGGGTAAAGAGCGTCAGTTATGGCGTCAGTAGAGATCACTAGCTTCTGAGCTGCTTAGTTATCTATTTTGTTACATAATATTTCTTAGTGATTCCCATTTACTATATCCCTTCGAGTCTTGAGAAGACAATCACATGAGGATAGGTATTACGTGTCTATGAGTTGATTACATTAGATTTGAGTGTTGCTGCAGAAACTAGTGTCCCATCTTTGATACAAATGTGAGCAAATACTTATTTTCCACCATAATTTGCAAATAAATTCTTTAAAAATCAGACAATGTGATTTTCTGGATTTTTTTCTTCTCATTTTGTCTCTCATAGTTGAGGTATACCTAGGATGAAAATTACAGGCCTCTCTCATCTTTAAGTACACACACACACACCTCTTCAATGTCTATAGCAGTTAACAGGGTACAGTATTATAAAAGCAAATATTTTAAATATAATAATTTTTTTAATGGAAAATATAATACTAGCCTGTCTGAAGTTTATATAAACAAAAACAGCACATGATAATATGGGTTGGTTCATAAAGATCTTTCACTGCAAGAGTGTGTAGAGATAAGAGTACATCAACTCAGGATATACTTAAATGATGAGCTGCAGTAAAATAAAGTCAGTCTGTTTGGTTTGTAAACACACACTTAAAAATATTTATCAACTTTATAGGAGAAACATAGATAATACATACAAAACATTTATATCGTTCACTGTTATGTAATCAACATGCTCATTAGGCATGTTGATTACAGATTCTCAGTAAAAATCAGTGCAAATTTGGACGCATGTATAATGAACATCAGTCCTATTTACAAGCACAAACGCGTATAAAAACATTAGTAAAAAAATAACAAACAGCACTTTCAAATAATGAAAAACATTTGTTCTTGCAATATCTCGAGTGGCCTTCAAATAACCAATATACAGAGAGTAGAACAATTACAATAGAACATTTCAAAATAATTTATATGCTTATAAAATCACGTCACCCAAAATGTAATATATTCCTTTCTACATGGGAGCAAGGCATGGACAGTTTTGGAACAAAATGCAGACAAGAGGCAATTCATTCAGCGTCGGATCACTTTGGGTCGGGCTGGAAAGCAGACGAATCTGATACACACAAACAAATAAGGATTATCAGACAAAGTGAACAGCAGCATTCTGCACAATTTTATTCCAAGCAATCATAGAGTTAAACACAAACCCACCAATAATTGGCTGATGTTGTAATCCAAATGAATGTTGTGTTCCATTGACAGTATTATTATTATTATTATTATAATATCACATTGTTGGAACAGATAAAGGCACCAAACTCTTTATCAATGATAACAAACGTACTGTTGACTGTTAAATATCAAGCTTATCCAGGTTAGTTGATCTTTATATCAAAGGCTTGGTAGTTTGCATAATACATTCAAAAGGTTTACATGTGCAAAAAATGGGTTTAAATATAATTTAACATAAGGACCATAAACCTCCAGATTATTACCCCATACGACACTCAGTGAATGATGAAAAGTCGGCACCCGTGTCATCACAAGAGGTGTATTATACTTCTTTATTATTTGGTGGAGTGAGTACGTTACACTCACACTCTCCTGGACCATTCACGTAAGGGGGCGACAAGCAGCTCAGGTACAGCCACGTCCTATTGTCCTGCAGCCAGCGCTGCCGATTACCAATCATATCAGGGGAACAAGGTGGCTGTATCCTCCTTTCCTCTTTAGGGGACAGGGCTATATGAGTCTTGCTTACTTGTTTGGGAGATGATAGAGCACACAGGTTTTTCTGGAATTGAATAACATGCTGTTTTACAGGAAGTGTTTGGCCATCCATCACAAAATCTGAATTGTTCCTATATTAACTTGTCTTGTGTCTGTGTTTTTTTCCACAGGTGAATTGGAAAACACTTCCCAAAAACAAGTGACCAAATTAGGAGACAAGCACCTAATGCTGGGATCAGACTACACAATGTTATTGTCCTTTGATAGACGGATTGAGTCAGATTAAAGGAGACCTATCATGCTATATTTAAATGATATACTATGTATGACCATACCTATATAAAAAGGTATATTTATACATTTTATTTTTCCAAATACCAAACGGATCATTTTTTAGCCATGCCTCGTTTCGCTCATTTTCGTTCTATTCCAAGCCTGTCTTTTAAAATTCTGAGCAGCAGCTGACCACGCCCCCCTGCAGAGGGGGGGGGGCATGAGCCGGCGAGAGTCACGTCACCATGTTTGCTGTGATTACGAGTTTGGAATAAACATGTCATCTCAGAGCAATGCATGTGTTCAAGCATATTATCAATTTGATCCAGAAACTGACCCTGAAGCAGCGGAGGTTTTGGTGGAGGAACAAACATCTCGGTTGCAGCAGGACGTTTCTGAATGGTTAGTTGACAAGCTGTTGTCCCTATTTATTTTACTCTGTTACGATGCTTGCTACTTATTCCGTTCATATTTTGTCTAATTAGCAAGAATGCAATGTGTACAATTTGTAACTTAGAGTTTGACCCAGCAATAAGTCTCTGAAAGGCGGGGAAAAGTTGTGTGGATAGAGGCAGAGCGCAGCGGCAGGCAGAGAGGAGCAGGCTGCGACTTTGTAACCCAGGAAAGGAGTAGGAATCCTGGGTACGTGAGTGTTAAAAGTGCATTAAACTGTTTTAATCCGACAGCCGCTGATGTGCACGGAAGTCTGTCCGTTTCGTTAGTATTTGAATAGCCAAA